TGCATTGGGTGGGAGGAGTTTTCTGTTATAAATGTTATTTTACCCAGAGTTCTTCTGTCTCCCACCACCCGCACTGGGTTGAGGGGGCCTCCCAGCACAGAGCTGGCCTTCTTGATGAGCTTATCCAGCCACTTCCTCTCAGCTGTAGATAAGCTGCTGCTCCAACAAACGATGCCATAAAAGATGGCTGAGTTAGCTTTCTTACTTAGTTRGTTAGCTTCACAGTATTGTCTCTTCAGGCCTGGTCCTCTCTGAGCTCTTTTCTGCAGAAAGAATATAATGAAGAATTTCATTCTACTGAAAATGAGCAACCAGTTTGAATCTGACTCCCCTTCGGTTCAGATCCAGATTACAGTCCAGTTTTTATGGAACTCTAATCCATCATATGTCTCCAGCTGCTAATAAAACTTGTAATAGTTTGAATTTCTATTGCAAGTGGAAGTAGTGTCTCCTCATACATTTTTATTCAATAAACCACAAATCTTTCCGCGGTAAAGCCGATCAACACTAAGTAAAGCCTGCCAAAGACTCTGGTGTGCAAAATTAATTGAAGACAGTTTTATTAATCTATTTTTGCAGATATCTAAAAGGCAGAGTGTGAGTGAGGTGCTGTGGCTCCAGCTGTGCAGAGATCACTGCGACTCTTCCTTAGCCTTCGCAGAGCCCGGGCCCCTCAGCTCTGACCCCCATCGCATCAAACTTGACTGCTCGTGTCCTGTCTGCACGCCAACTTGTCGTGTAGGCTGTGTCGCTCTGTCACAAGACATGTCCCACATTTGCAGCCGCCGTCGTTGGCCAACAGGATGAGAGCGTCTGTCAGGAGAGCTGACACGCACGCCACTTTGCAGGGCGACTGACAGAGGGCCACGCCACACTGTCACTTCTCCCGGATCCATTGCCTGAGGATAAACATGGACTCTCTCACACACAAACACACACACAGCGGCGTTAATAACACAAGAGTAAACAGAGTTGGAATCTCGGGGACTGACTGACTGACTGACAGGCTGACTGGGTGACCAGCCACGGCTGAGGAAGCTGCAGCTCTGTGTCACCCCTCATTCTTACAATCTCCAGCTGTCACATCAAACACTCGGCTTCTCGTGCTGCTGCTCCTCCAACAAGCTCCGCCTCGCCACCTTCCCCCACTCCCCCCACCCCGGCCCTCTGAACTGATACCACATCAGAAATGTTTCCTGTAATGCAAGAGGAGACAACCAGTGGCATTTTCCCTGAAAGTCCATATCTTCTTCTGCTGAATCAGTTATTTTGCTTTTGATTTATTATTATTATTATTATTATTATTATTATTATTATTATTATTATTATTATTATTATTATTATTATTGTTAGACATGTGTCAGAATTAGTCTACAGGTGTTTCACAATCACAAAACAGGATTCATGATTTGAATATCAAATACAGAAATAGACAGAATTATTCCTAATTAATTTGTAAGGTTTTAATTTAGGTCAAGCTTTTAATTGTATATATTCTCATTAAGGAGTGAATATATGACAATTGTCTTCATGAATCCCAACTTACATCACACAGTCACAATATTTAGRCACTAGTTTCTTTATGAAACCTTAATCTTAGAGCAATAAACAGTCTGTCACAAGATGATTTAAACTGATGGAAAGTAGCTGCTTCATCTACTCAACTAGTCCATATAAAGTGAAAGTTCAGATGTTTTGAATTTGGATTAAAGGGGAAATATTATGTGTTTCTCAGGCATACATTTAAATACTATACCATAATAAAGTATCTATGTCATCTTTAGTTGTTATTAAAATGCTGTTTTTATGTTTAAATAGAA